GAGTGCTTCCCAGTGGATGAAGTGAGAGTGCTTCCCAGTGGATGTAGAGTGCTTCCCAGACGTAGTAGAGTGCTTCCCAGTGGATGTAGAGTGCTTCCCAGTGGATGTAGTGAGAGTGCTTCCCAGTGGACGTAGTGAGAGTGCTTCCCAGTGGATGAAGTGAGAGTGCTTCCCAGTGGATGAAGTGAGAGTGCTTCCCAGTGGACGTAGTGAGAGTGCTTCCCAGTGGACAACACACTTCCTCCTCTCTGCACTCCTTCAAGAATGCAAACCAACTCATCAGGTCCGGGCAATTGATACCGTTCAAATATTATAATTTTAACAATTCTATCAGCTTTATTAACATGAATTGATAACCAAAAATCAGAACAAAAAGTGCATTGTTCCATATAAGACTTTTTCCTTTGAACGTCAGTACACTTTTTTCTGTATTTCGAACACTTGAGCATTAATTTCATAGTCTAAGATCTCTTACCAATGTCGACTCCACATCTCGTCATTTTTGTATTCAGAACGCAATTTTGAAAATTTTGTACTCGAACCTGGGACCCTGTAATTCCCTAAATGCAAAATCTGTTACCTGTAGAATATTGTTAGAATATCTGTTAACTGTATTAGATAATCTTTCGTTAATTTTAATTGTCTAAGTAGTCCAAAAGTTTAGTATCATATTATATATATATATATATATATATATATATATATATATATATATATATATATATATATATATATATATATATATATGATACTATGGCGGCTACACTAAGTGTACATGTGTAGCTCCCCCTAACCTAACCTAACCTAACCTAACCTAAATGTACCTATCTAACCTAACTTAACCTAATCTAACCTATCTAACTTGGCTTAAGATAACTGAGTCTGTAATTCATGTTCCTAGTTAATATAATAATTCATGTTTTTAATTAAATTAATAATTTCAATTATTAACTGAAATAAACCAATTTGAAAAGAAATATTTGAAAATACCGAAAATCACCCTACATTCTGCCTGTTAAGCATATCGGACATTGCATACTAGACCAAGTAGTGCAATTATGGTTATTAGGTAATTGGTAATTAGGTACGACATATATAGCTGTACCCGGTCACGTGATGCTGTGGCTCAGCAACGAATGTGCGTTGCTGAGCCACAGCATCCCTCCCCCTGTCCCCTCGTCCTCCCCTCCATTCCCCACTACCCCTTCCCCTCGTCCTTCCTTCCATTCCCGTCCCACCATCCCCCACTTCCGTCCCCTCCTCCTCCCCACCATCCCCCACTTCCGTCCCCTCCTCCTCCCCATCATCCCCCACTTCCGTCCCCTCCTCCTCCCCATCATCCCCCACTTCCGTCACCTCCTCCTCCCCACCATCCCCCACTTCCGTCCCCTCCTCCTCCCCACCCCCCACTTCCGTCCCCTCCTCCTCCCCATCATCCCCCACTTCCGTCCCCTCCTCCTCCCCACTATTCCCCACTCCCTCATCCGATGCATTCCCAAATGAGCTGATGTTCCCATCAGAAAATTGGGAACATCAAATGATCTGATGTCCTCATGACTGATATAAGAAAAACAATTAAAAACGAAATGAAAAACAATGAAAACATAATAGAAAAACATAATAGAAACTATACTGACGAAAAGAACGGTATGGTTTACAACAAAGTTCAATTCCAATGCAATGTTACACAAAATAATTAAATCAAAATGAGAATAATTCGAAATCTATCAAAATTCCATTTATCAATGAAATCGGAAACATTGAAATGGAGTCGAAACATATTTAGTATAGCGTGTGTGGCTCTTACGTGCAACAGTTGGTGTTGTTTAAAAAAAATCATGTTTTTACCTGTCACAGGTGTGGCATCAATATTTATACTTACGAAATGAACGGTATGATTAACAACACAGCTCAATTCCAACACAATGTCACACAAAATAATTCAATAAAAATGAAAATAAATCGAAATTCATGAAAATTAAATTTATCAACGCAATGAGAAACAATGACATGGAATTCATAACATATTTAGTAAAGCGTAAGTGTTGCTATTACGTGCAACAGATGGCTCTGTTTAAAAAAAAAATTCTTTTACTTGTCACAGGCGTGGTATCTATATAGTAGGTATATAAAAACACTTGCATATTCGAATGGAACATTTTGTCAGAATTTCAAAACATTCGGTGAAGAACTTTGGAAGATTACAGCGTGTGTTGCTCTTACGTTCAACAGATGGCACTGTTTAAAAAATAAAAAAACATGTTTTTTCTGTCACAGTTGAGGCATGTATATAGTAGGTATATAAAAACATGCGCCTATTAGAATGCAACGTCGTGTCAAAATTTCAAAGCAATCGGTAAAGAGGTTTCGAAGATTTCTCTCACATGAAAAACATGAAAAACACAGTTTTCCAAAGAAAGCATGTTTCTTCCGTCACAGATGTGACATCAGTATAGTATGTATATGAAAACCCGCTCGGATGCGATTGGAAAATTATGGGAAAAATTTTAAAGCAATCGGTGAAGAACTTTCGGAGATTAGCGATTTTGAACAAACGATATACCATACTGATTGTACAAAAGAATTGGAAGTCGTCTGACCCTTGACCCAATTCCCGACAGCTCCCGGTGACCATTTTCGGCACAGATGTACTTTTTTTTTTTTTTTTTAGATATATACAAGAGTTGTTACATTCTTGTACAGCCACTAGTACGCGTAGCGTTTCGGGCAAGTCCTTAATCCTATGGTCCCTGGAATACGATCCCCTGCCGCGAAGAATCGTTTTTTCATCCAAGTACACATTTTACTGTTGCGTTAAACAGAGGCTACAGTTAAGGAATTGCGCCCAGTAAATCCTCCCCGGCCAGGATACGAACCCATGACATAGCGCTCGCGGAACGCCAGGCGAGTGTCTTACCATTACACCACGGAGACTTCTAACATAATTATTGAATATGACAGAACGGACGGAATCAATGAATCAAGGATAAATCTTATCTATTCATAGTCTTCAAATCCAATATATTTGACAGTACAGTTTAATACTAAGTGAAAATAAGTACAATTCCTGACTGTCATATATAGTACATAATTGCACTTATGGGGATTTACATTTACCTCCGTATTTCTGGAGGAGGGGCTGGACTATGTTATGGGCGTCAGATTCACGAAGCAGTTACGCAAGCACTTACGAACGTGTACATCTTTCCTCAATCTTTGACGGCTTTGGTTACATTTATTAAACAGTTTACAAGCATGAAAAGTTGCCAATCAACTGTTGTTATTGTTATAAACAGCCTCCTGGTGCTTTGGAGCTCATTAACTGTTTAATAATTGTAAACAAAGCCGCCTAAGATTGAGAAAAGATGTACAGGTTCGTAAGTGCTTGCGTAACTGCTTCGTGAATCTGGCCCCTGAGCAGTGTCGCCTGTACCGTCCTCACTCCCACTGGGAGTCGCTTCCACAGACGTGTCACGTACGGAGTTTTGGGTTACTTCAGCCACCCCAAGGAGGGTGGGAGCAAGGGAGCCGGTCGGCCGAGCGGACAGCACGCTGGACTTGTGATCCTGTGGTCCTGGGTTCGATCCCAGGCGCCGGCGAGAAACAATGGGCAAAGTTTCTTTCACCCTATGCCCCTATTACCTAGCAGTAAAATAGGTACCTGGGTGTTAGTCAGCTGTCACGGGCTGCTTCCTGGGGGTGGAGGCCTGGTCGAGGACCGGGCCGCGGGGACACTAAAGCCCCGAAATCACCTCAAGATAACCTCAAGATAACCCCGCCTGGAGCTGCAGCACTTGCACCAGTGGGGGGCATGTTCTGGTACACTATCTTCCAGTAATGGCGGGAAGTCATGTTCATGAGAAATGTTGACGAGTTCTGTTGCCTCCACCTGACAGGCAGTAGTCAAGTGCAACCCGTTCTCGCAAATTCGTAAAGTCAATATTGACTTATTAACTACGTGCATAGGTGATATACTAAACATAATAGATACCCTTAAAAAGATTCATAGAAAACACCGACCTTACCTAACCTTGTTAGTATCTTAAGATAAGCATCTTATTGCTTCGTAATTACAATTATTACCTAACCTATTATAGGTATAGGTTAAGTAATAATTGTAATTACGAAGCTATAAGATGCTTATCTTAAGATACTAACAAGGTTAGGTAAGGTCGGTGTTTTCTATGAATCTTTTTAAGGGTATCTATTATGTTAAGTATGTCACCTATGCACATATTTAATAAGTCAATATTGACTTATTAAATTTGCGAGAACGGGTTGTCAAGTGACCAGTACGTTCAACCTGTCCTCTTAAAAATAACGTCGCTTTTGGCCGTTTGCCCGTATGGCCGAAAATGGACGTAATTTGAAAATGAAAAAAAAAATGAAAATAATTGTTTTTTTTTCAACAACAGTAAGTTAAGGGTCCTCTGGTTAGGTGGGCAGGAAATTCTCATAAAGTTACAAAACGTTATGAAAAATGTTAATTGAAAGCAAACTCTTTTAACCTTACCGAGTAAGCCGGACGACTCAAACAGAAAACGGAACAGTACGTCACTTTTGTGAGTCGATTTCATTTCAAATTACGTCCAAATTTGGCCATAGCGCGCATACGAGCGAAAAGTGACGTTATTTTTAAGAGGACGGGTTGACCCAGCAGCCATGTGACCAGTACGCCCACACTTAAAACATGTTTACAGTTGTCAACTGTATATAAATTTAATATATTGACCTGCTACTGGCACTGATGAAGGAATATTAGTGTAGTTCCATTTTCACTGTTCTTGTACCATTGAAACACCCATTTCCTGCTCCATAGATATATTTATTGAAACGAACATTGTCCATTTTTCCCATACTGTTCCCGTATGTGAGTAATAGTTCCATTCAACATTTCAAATGGCGCATCCCTCACGGAAACATATGTAAACGTTTTACTCAAATTAATCACTTGCACTGATCTTTTCCCATTAGGCTAACTGATAATGCCAACATCATACTTCTTTAGAAACTCTGAAAACGCCACATTGCTGTCAAATTTCACACCACTCTGTTCCCTGGCAGTGGTTGGTAACCAAATATTTCGTCCATCTTTATCTGTAGCACTTGGAAGATCGTCGTGCAGACAAGGTCGGAATCAGCATTACAACTGAACTTGGAGTTCTACGGACTCTTTCCGCTTGAGTGGAGGTGTGTAGGAGCCCATAATGGCCCACATACCACCCCGAGCGTGCGGCTACACGCCCACCAGTCAACACACCGACCAACAGCGACGACAAACACGTCCACCCACCAGACGCCAGTAGCAGAGAGCAACATAAACACGTCTGCTCACCACCACGTCCAAGACGCGACTCCTACGAAGCCTCATTCAACCAATCTCAAGCAACCCCTAAGGTTTATCAACGTTGATTCAACGTAGTATTAAGTTACTGGTTGATATTTTGCCCTCAAGGGTCTGCTACAGATACGAAAAGCCATAATCAGGATGCTGCTGTCCGCTGCACCTATTATTAATAGCCACGATACCTTCCTCTACACCGCATCATCGTTAATAACCTCCAAATATGGGTATAGAACGGTGGGGGCCAGGCTCACGCTGGGGTCCTGTACAGTGGGCATGCAGGCACCTCTATGGTAGAGGTCAGGCTCACGCTGGGGTCCTGTACAGTGGGCATGATAGCACCTCTATGGTAGAGGCCAGGCTCACGCTGGGGTCCTGTACAGTAGGCATGCTAGCACCTCTATGGTAGAGGCCAAGCTCACGCTGGGGTCCTGTACAGTGGGCATGTTAGCACCTCTATGGTAGAGGCCAGGCTCATGCTGGGGTCCTGTACAGTGGGCATGCAGGCACCTCTATGGTAGAGGCCAGGCTCATGCTGGGGTCCTGTACAGTGGGCATGCAGGCACCTCTATGGTAGAGGCCAGGCTCACGCTGGGGTCCTGTACAGTGGGCATGTTAGCACCTCTATGGTAGAGGCCAGGCTCACGCTGGGGTCCTGTACAGTGGGCATGTTAGCACCTCTATGGTAGAGGCCAGGCTCATGCTGGGGTCCTGTACAGTGGGCATGTTAGCACCTCTATGGTAGAGGTCAGGCTCACGCTGGGGTCCTGTACAGTGGGCATGCTAGTACCTCTATGGTAGAGGCCAGGCTCACGCTGGGGTCCTGTACAGTGGGCATGCTAGCACCTCCATGGTAGAGGCCAGGCTCACGCTGGGGTCCTGTACAGTGGGCATGCTAGTACCTCTATGGTAGAGGCCAGGCTCACGCTGGGGTCCTGTACAGTGGGCATGCTAGCACCTCTATGGTAGAGGCCAGGCTCACGCTGGGGTCCTGTACAGTGGGCATGCTAGTACCTCTATGGTCGAGGCCAGGCTCACGCTGGGGTCCTGTACAGTGGGCATGTTAGCACCTCTATGGTAGAGGCCAGGCTCACGCTGGGGTCCTGTACAGTGGGCATGCTAGTACCTCTGTGGTAGAGGCCAGGCTCATGCTGGGGTCCTGTACAGTGGGCATGTTAGCACCTCTATGGTAGAGGCCAGGCTCACGCTGGGGTCCTGTACAGTGGGCATGTTAGCACCTCTATGGTAGAGGTCAGGCTCACGCTGGGGTCCTGTACAGTGGGCATGCAGGCACCTCTATGGTAGAGGCCAGGCTCATGCTGGGGTCCTGTACAGTGGGCATGCTAGTACCTCTATGGTAGAGGCCAGGCTCATGCTGGGGTCCTGTACAGTGGGCATGCTAGTACCTCTATGGTAGAGGCCAGGCTCACGCTGGGGTCCTGTACAGTGGGCATGTTAGCACCTCTATGGTAGAGGTCAGGCTCACGCTGGGGTCCTGTACAGTGGGCATGCAAGCACCTCTATGGTAGAGGCCAGGCTCACGCTGGGGTCCTGTACAGTGGGCATGATAGCACCTCTATGGTAGAGGCCAGGCTCACGCTGGGGTCCTGTACAGTGGGCATGCTAGTACCTCTATGGTCGAGGCCAGGCTCACGCTGGGGTCCTGTACAGTGGGCATGCTAGCACCTCTATGGTAGAGGCGAGGCTCACGCTGGGGTCCTGTACAGTGGGCATGTTAGCACCTCTATGGTAGAGGCCAGGCTCACGCTGGGGTCCTGTACAGTGGGCATGCTAGCACCTCCATGGTAGAGGCCAGGCTCACGCTGGGGTCCTGTACAGTGGGCATGTTAGCACCTCTATGGTAGAGGCCAGGCTCATGCTGGGGTCCTGTACAGTGGGCATGCTAGCACCTCCATGGTAGAGGCCAGGCTCACGCTGGGGTCCTGTACAGTGGGCATGCTAGCATGCTAGTCTCCTCTCTAAGACTGCTGTAACCTTGGAGGGAACCTAATAAGACTCACCTGTTAAGTTAGCTGTGATGTGGGAGAGTAGGTGTTAGACTCACCTGTGACGTGAGAGTGTAGGTGTTAGACTCACCTGTGACGTGAGAGTGTAGGTGTTAGACTCACCTGTGACGTGAGAGTGTAGGTGTTAGACTCACCTGTGACGTGAGAGTGTAGGTCTTAGACTCACCTGTGACGTGAGAGTGTAGGTCTTAGACTCACCTGTGACGTGAGAGTGTAGGTGTTAGACTCACCTGTGACGTGAGAGTGTAGGTGTTAGACTCACCTGTGACGTGAGAGTGTAGGTGTTAGACTCACCTGTGACGTGAGAGTGTAGGTGTTAGACTCACCTGTGACGTGAGAGTGTAGGTGTTAGACTCACCTGTGACGTGAGAGTGTAGGTGTTAGACTCACCTGTGACGTGAGAGTGTAGGTGTTAGACTCACCTGTGACGTGAGAGTGTAGGTGTAAGACTCACCTGTGACGTGAGAGTGTAGGTGTTAGACTCACCTGTGACGTGAGAGTGTAGGTGTTAGACTCACCTGTGACGTGAGAGTGTAGGTGTTAGACTCACCTGTGACGTGAGAGTGTAGGTGTTAGACTCACCTGTGACGTGAGAGTGTAGGTCTTAGACTCACCTGTGACGTGAGAGTGTAGGTCTTAGACTCACCAATGACGTGAGAGAATAGGTCTCAGACTCACCTGTTAGCTGTGACGTGGGAGAGCAGGGCTGCCACCTGGGGAGAGGTGACAGCGGCCAGGTGCCCTCCTCGGCCCACACACGCAGCCTCCGCCGCCGCCCACCTGGCCTTCTCCTCCACCAGGAGGAAGCAACGGCCATCTTGGCCCACCCACCCCCACCCGCACGCCCGCGACGCCGCCTCCCCGCCCACAGACCCCTCTCCGCCAGCCTCCACGCCCACCACGCTCTCTGCGGATGTGTCTGCAAAGAGAGAGAACGTACAACTTGTTAGATCCATAGTCAAGACACTTAAGTACAACCACAACTTGAGACGGCAAGAGTACAAGGTACTCACATTACAAGACACAGTAACTTGTAACATAACAAGACACAGTAACTTGTAACATAACAAGACACAGTAACTTGTAACATTACAAGACACAGTAACTTGTAACATAACAAGACACAGGAACTTGTAACATTACAAGACACAGTAACTTGTAACATTACAAGACACAGTAACTTGTAACATTACAAGACACAGTAACTTGTAACATTACAAGACACAGTAACTTGTAACATTACAAGACACAGTAACTTGTAACATTACAAGACACAGTAACTTGTAACATAACAAGACACAGTAACTTGTAACATAACAAGACACAGTAACTTGTAACATAACAAGACACAGTAACTTGTAACATAACAAGACACAGTAACTTATAACATTACAAGACACAGTAACTTGTAACATTACAAGACACAGTAACTTGTAACATTACAAGACACAGTAACTTGTAACATAACAAGACACAGTAACTTGTAACATTACAAGACACAGTAACTTGTAACATTACAAGACACAGTAACTTGTAACATTACAAGACACAGTAACTTGTAACATTACAAGACACAGTAACTTGTAACATTACAAGACACAGTAACTTGTAACATAACAAGACACAGTAACTTGTAACATAACAAGACACAGTAACTTATAACATTACAAGACACAGTAACTTGTAACATTACAAGACACAGTAACTTGTAACATTACAAGACACAGTAACTTGTAACATTACAAGACACAGTAACTTGTAACATTACAAGACACAGTAACTTGTAACATTACAAGACACAGTAACTTGTAACATTACAAGACACAGTAACTTGTAACATTACAAGACACAGTAACTTGTAACATTACAAGACACTGTACTAGTGCTTATATAGACAAAGACTCAGCTCTGTGGTTACAAAACAACTCTTTTGAAATATTTAATAAAAAAAACAGCTTCCAACTGAGAAATTGTTACTGAAAGCTTAACCTCAGTAAACATTTATTGTATACAGTAAACAGTATACAGCAGGTTACAGTTCAGCTTAACCAGGTCCTTGTACGAGGCTCCCGTACCACACATGTTAAACAAGTGATTATGAATAAGTTAAGATTCTCTTACTAACTATGCAGCCCGTCCTCCTAAGGTGCCCTTATCTTAACCTATCCGAGGACCCAAAACAGAAAACGGGACAGTTTGTCAATTTCGCGAGCCGCTTCCATTTTCTAGTATGACAATTTTTGGCTTTAGGTAAGGTATCTTGAGGTTATCTTGAGATGATTTCGGGGCTTTAGTGTCCCTGCGGCCCGGTCCTCGACCAGGCCTCCACTCCCAGGAAGCAGCCCGTGACACCTGACTAACACCCAGGTACCTATTTTACTGCTAGGTAACAGGGGCATAGAGTGAAAGAAGCTTTGCCCATTGTTTCTCGCCGGCGCCTGGGATCGAACCCAGGACCACAGGATCACAAATCCAGCGTGCTGTCCGCTCGGCCGACCGGCTCCGTTATTATCAAGGCATCTGCGACCCCAGGGGGCTAGATTCACGAAATTACGCAAACACTTACGAACCTGTACATCTTTTCCCAATCTTTGGTGAGTTTGTTTACAATTATTAAACAGTTAATGAG